TTCTCTGAGTTCATTAATGGACAAATCTTCTCTTCTTTATCCATGACCAAACAGGATTTTATAGCCTCACCTACAGGAGTAGGACACTAGGCAAAAAAAACTCCTATGGGCAGTCCTCTCTGGGCATAAAACCCCCTCTCTGCTATAGGCTACCAGTCAGTCACAAGCAGTGTCAAAAGGAAAAACACCATAGACCAGACCACTGACCGAAGTTTTTAGAGTTTGTCCAGCAGGAAGAACATCTTGGCTTGTTCCGAATTGAGAATCAGCTCTAGATGCTGCAGACACCTGGATGGAGTCAACACAGACTTCCTGAGATTCAGGATCCCACCGAAGCCCTGTAAGGAATGCATGGTGATCTCCACACTGTCCATAAGAGACAAGCGAGTTGCCACATGTAGAAGCAAGTCATTCAGGTATCCAATCACAGCAATCCCTTGTTGTCTCGGCAAGGACAGGACCAGGGCCAAGACCTTGGTAAACACCCAGAGAGCGGAGGCCAACCCGAAGTGCAGCACTACAAATTGATAATCCGCGTTCCTAACAGCAAAGTGTAGGAAACGGAGTCCCTCACAGATAAGAATGTGCAGGTAAGCATTCTTGATGTCTATGGAGGCCAGAAGATCTCCTTGGTGGTGGAAGGCTACCACAGAGCGAATAGATTCCATCTTGAGCTTGTGCACCCGCATGAAGGCATTCAGGGCCTTGAGGTCCAGAATTTGGCGATACCTGTCCACACTGGGAACCAGTGCCCGAATCATAACTGTTCTGATTTGGGCACCGGAACAATCACTCCCTGAAGGAGCAGATCCTGCACAGCCCCATACAGGGCCCTCAGGCACTCTGGAAAGAGCCACAGATTGGAGGGAAAAAAATCTGTCCATCGGAAAGGAATGAAATTCTATTTTGTAACCTGAGAGAATGATTTTGCTGAACCACACTTGTCAGGGATGAGGGAGATCCAGGGGCGGACTGACCATTTGGAAACTCGGGCACTGCCCGAGGGCCCGGGGACAGTGGGGGGCCCCATGAGATGCCCCTGGTACCTTTTTCATAGGCTTTTTTGAGTTTGGGCAAGGACACAGGGGCCCCATGATCCCCTATTGCCTGGGGGCCCCATGAGTTGTCAGTCCGCCCCTGGGGAGATCCATGGTCCCAGATACCAGCAAAACCTTCATGTCAAGGAGGACTTATCCGTGGACTTGGAGAGCTTCTGGGGCCAGGAGCGTTTGGCACCACCTGCAGGAGTCTTGAAGGGCTTGGAGCCCTTGGTCGAAATGAAAAATCCACTTATGCGCCGTGAATGCCAGCCCAGCTGTGAAGGCCACCCCTTCTCATGAGGTTCCTTACCCTTCTTGTCTTGAGGGAGGAAGACACTCTTGATAATGTTGACGTAAAGTTCTTCTAATGTCATCTAGCATAGCCCCAAAAAGATGGTCTCCCTCCGAAGGGCGGGTCTTTTTAGAAGTCTGGTCATTTGATCAACACTTGAGCCAGAGGACCCAGTGCAACACTACTGCCAAAACGAAAAGTTTGGAAAGAAGTGGGGCCACTTCACAGGATGCATCATAAACATACTTTAATCCCTTGACCAACTGGTCTGCCTACGGTTAGGACATCTGGCTAGAAGTCAAGGCTTGTTGCAAAACTTTGGCCCACTCGGTCAGCGTCTGGGACACCAGGGCCATGGCCAACACAGGCCAAAGCGCTGACCCAGCATTCGTGAACATAGAACAGGCCACTACCTCCGCCCGCAGGGTCCTTAAAAGGAGAGGATTCCTCAACCAGGATCACAGTGGCCTTGTTAAACCTGGAAATGGGTGGATCCACCACAGGGTGAGAGGCCCACTTCTTCAAAAAGGCCTCCTCAAAAGGGTAGTGTGCCAAGTGGTGCTTGGAGAGTACAAACAGACGCTTCAAATGTTCCAAGTCCTTGTAGACAAATTTATCAAAATATCCAGGGTAAGGGAAATACCTTAGGAGCCCGAGCGGGCTTGTGCATACCAAAGGGGACAGGAACCACATAAGAAGCCCCAGCAGAGTCCTCAGTTTTAAGCATCTTCTGCACAGAATGAATGAAAGCTGGGACTAGTGCCTTCTCCTGTGCGGCTATAGAGGCAGAGGATCCACCCTCCTCAACCGAGGAATCAGGGAATATGTTATCGGGATCTGCAGTAAACATGAGGGTGACAGAGGGGGGTGCTTCTTGCTTGCCTTGCGTTTGAACGCTGCCTGCACTTGGGAAATGAATGACTCCAGGATGGCCAACAGTATGACTATGGGGACCGAAGGACCCGCCACTTCCAGGAGAGCCTCCAGAGGGGAAGCATGCTCCTGAGACTCCACAGGTGCAACCAGATGGGCACTGCCACAACCAGGGATCCCAGGTACTAAATCAGAAGAGACCACCCCAGGCTGCCTAGCAGAGGGAGAGAGGGAGTCACTCACCTATGGCTGCCCACTGTGTCCCGCAGGAGTCCCAGGGACCGCGCCCACACCCTTGGATACTCAGGAACAAAAGAGGGCCGTCGCAGGCTACACAAAAATGGTCACTCAGGACCTCTCCCAGCCAGCTCTCATAGTCCAGGCATTTGGTTACTGGCATGTCAACCACAGGGATGTCTCCAGATCACAGGAAAATGCCATGTGGCGGCCGCAATTGATCTCCCAGAACCCAGAGGGAAAGGCAGAAACACCTGGCAGCACCCCTACCCCCCACCCGCAGCAGCCAAGTCTCCTAGACTGAAGGAGATAGACAAGCTACAGGGAAGAGGGAGGCAGTCACAGAGGGAGCAGGCAGAAGGGGGGAGCTGTAACTCACAGGGCAGCACCTGCCAACAGTGAAGGACCCCAGTCTGGACCTACACCCTCCACTGCGGCTGGCAGAGCCCTCTATGCATCAAACCACTTGGTAAGCTGCCAAAAGGAGGGGCAGGGGGTAGGGTACAGATAAGTAGGCCTGGAAGGGGGGAAGAGAACCCCGTAGGGACTGACCATCCCAGGCAGTACCTGCACCCCACATCGCATCAGGGATGGAAGGGAGGCATCTCCTTATTAATCCAGTGGAGCGTGTGGGTAAAGCTCCCATGACAGATCCTCTTCTCCACCAAAGTGGGGGGGCTGTCGGCCAAGGTAATACTGTGACATGGACTATAAGTGTTCTCGTAAGACGTTTTACTTGCTGGCCACCTGGTCCAGGATGGGGCATGCTGTAGTTGACCGAGCGCAGAGCTAGCAGTCTGAGCGTGCTCGCTGGTCAGAATGAGGTGACCACTGGATCTATATTATCCAACCCATCATACTAGCTTGACTGATGATAGAAGATCTCTACACTAGGCAGAATAACTGGAGGCCTATAGCAGAGAGGGTGTTTTATGCCCAGAGAGTGCTGCCCATAGGAGGTGCTGAGTTTTTTTCTATCTAGTGTCCCTGTCCTGTAGGTGGGGCTATAAAACCCTGTATGGTCATCAATAAAGAAGACAGGTTGCATCTGTCAATGAATGTAAGACATATTATTTTTACAGCTTTTTGTAAAGGAGTATTCTTCTCATTAATCAACAATGTAAGGATCATTCTTTTCAATGACCTGTAGGAGTCCTTCTCCCACTGACCATTATTATAAATGGGCCCTTCTAAACCACCAATCTAATGGACACATCACTGACTACCTGCATAAATGGACACTATACTGAACACCAATGTAAGGGATCCATTTTTCACTGGCCATCAATGTAAGATCTCATATTGTTAATATCCAATATTTTGCATGACCATCCAATTTGTTAACCTGAATCACTTTGGTGAAGCTGTTTCTATAAAACAAAGAAGCCAATTTGTTCTACTAAGCTGTCTTGCAAAAAGCCACCTGTTCCTCAAAGACTGCACAGGAGAAGGGCAGTGTGGACAACTGTAGGGTCAGGAGACCAGGCCTGTGGAGCTTTTGGTGTGACAATGTATAACCCCTATAGTGTTCTTTGTGAGCTAGAAGCAGGTACAAAGGTTGCAAACATAGCTGCTTGTGAGATTGGCAACCCTTCTCTGCATAAGAAAGAAGTCCCTGAGAAAAAAAAAATGACTTTCCTAAAAGTAACTGTTGTATCTGTTGTACACTATATTGGGACACCCCTCCAAATCATTGGATTCAGATGTTCTAATCACCCCCATGGCCACAGGTGTGTAAAATCAAGCACCTAGGCATGTAGACTGCTCCTACAAACATTTGTGAAAGAATGGGTCGCTCTCAGGAGCTCACTGAATTCAAGCGTGGTACAGTGATAGGTTGCCACCTCTGCAATAAGTCCATCTGTGAAATTTCCTTGCCACTAAATATTCCACGGTTAACTGTTAGTGGTATTATAACAAAGTGGAAGCAACTGGGAACAACAGCAACTCAGCCACGAAGTGGTATGTAAAATGACAGAGCAGGGTTGGCACATGCACAGTGTGCAGAAGTCTCCTACTGTCTGCAGAGTCAATAGTTAAAGACCTCCAAACTTCATGTGGCCTTCAGATTAGCACAACAACAGTGCGTAGAGAGCTTCTTGGAATGGGTTTCCATGGCCGAGTAGCTGCATCCAAACCTTACATCATCAAGAGAAATGTAAAGCGTCAGATGCCGTGCCGTAAAGTATGCCACCTCTGGACTCTAGAGCAGTAGAGACATGTTCTCTGGAGTGATGAATCACGATTTTCTTTCTGGCAATCCGATGGACATGTCGGGGTTTGGCCGTTCTCTTACTGCATTGTGCCAAGTGTAACGCTTGGTAGAGGGGGATTATGGTGTAAGGTTGTTTTTTAGGAGTTGGACTTGGCCCCTTAGTTCCAATGAAGGGAACTCTTAATGCGTCAGCATTCCAAGACATTTTGGAAAATGTCATGCTTCCAACTTTGTGGGAACAGCTTGGGGATGTCCCTTCCTGTTCCAACATGATTGCGCACCAGTGCACAAAGCAAGATCCATAAAGACATGGATGAGCGAGTTTGGGGTGGAGGAACTTGACTGGCATGCACTGACCTCAGCCCAATAGAACACCTTTGTGAAGAATAGTGAGACATTCCCATAGACACACTCCTAAACAGCCTTCCCAAATGCGTTGAAGCTGTTATAGCTGTAAAGGGTGGGCTAACTCAATATTGAACCCCACGGACTAAGACTGGGATGCTATTAAAGTTCATGTGTGTGTAAAGGCAGGCGTCCCAATTCTTTTGGCAATATAGTATACAGTCATGGCCGAAATTGTTGGCACCCTTGATATTTCTCCAGGAAATCATGTATTTCTCACGAAACGTATTGCATTAACACATGTTTTGCTATACACATGTTTATTCCCTTTGTGTGTATTGGGACAAAACAAAAAAAGGGAGGAAAGAAAGCAAATTCGACATAATGTCACACAAACCTCCAAAAATGGGCTGGACAAAAGTATTGGCACCCTTTCACACAACTGCGGATAAATAAGAATGTTACAAGCATGTGATGCTCCTGTAAACTCACCTGGGGCAAGTAACAGGTGTGGGCAATATAGAAATCACACCTGAAAGCAGATAAAAAGGAGAGACGTTCACTTAACCTTTGCATTGTGTGTCTGTCTGTGCCACACTAAGCATGGACAACAGAAAGAGGAGACGAGAACTGTCTGAGGACCTGAGAACCAAAATTGTGGCAAAATATCAACAATCTCAAGGTTACAAGTCCATCTCCAGAGAACTAGATTTGCCTTTGTCCACAGTGCGCAACATTATCAAGAAGTTTGCAACCCATGGCACTGTAGCTAATCTCCCTGGTCGTGGACGGATGAGGAAAATTGATGAAAGATTGCAACGCAGAATAGTCCGGATGGTGGATAAGCAGCCCCAAACATGTTCCAAAGACATTCAAGCTGTCCTGCAGGCTCAGGGAGCATCAGTGTCAGCGCGAACTATCCGTCGACATTTAAATGAAATGAAACGCTATGGCAGGAGACCCAGGAGGACCCCACTGCTGACACAGAGACATAAAAAAGCAAGACTACAGTTTGCCAAAATGTACTTGAGTAAGCCAAAAGCCTTCTGGGAAAACGTCTTGTGGACAGATGAGACCAAGATAGAGCTTTTCGGTAAAGCACATCATTCTACTGTTTACCGAAAACGGAATGAGGCCTACAAAGAACAAAACACAGTACCTACGGTAAAATATGGTGGAGGTTCAATGATGTTTTGGGGTTGTTTTGCTGCCTCTGGCACTGGGTGCCTTGACTGTGTGCAAGGCATCATGAAATCTGAGGATTACCAAAGGATTTTGGGTCGCACTGTAGGGCCCAGTGTCAGAAAGCTGGGTTTGCGTCCAAGATCCTGGGTCTTCCAGCAGGACAATGACCCCAAACATACGTCAAAAAGCACTCATAAATGGATGGCAAAGAAGCGCTGGAGAGTTCTGAAGTGGCCAGCAATGAGCCCAGATCTAAATCCCATTGAACACCTGTGGAGAGATCTTAAAATTGCTGTTGGGAAAAGGTGTCCTTCCAATAAGAGAGACCTGGAGCTGTTTGCAAAGGAAGAGTGGTCCAAAATTCCGGGTGAGAGGTGTCAGAAGCTTATTGATGGTTATAGGAAGCGACTGATTTCAGTTATGTTTTCCAAAGGGTGTGCAACCAAATATTAAGTTAAGGGTGCCAATACTTTTGTCCAGCCCTTTTTTGGGGTTTTGTGTGACATTATGTCATATTTGCTTTTCTGCCTCTGTTTTATATTTGTTCCAATACATACAAAGGGAATAAACATGTGTATAGCAAAACATGTGTTAATGCAATACCTTTTTTGTGTGAAATACTTGATTTTCAGGAAAAATATCAAGGGTGCCAACAATTTCGGCCATGACTGTATCTGCAGTTGCAAACCAGGAAAGTGTTGTGAATAAGACTCCTAAAAGTCATCTTCTTCTCGGTGATTCAGTTATAAGGCTCCATGCACACCAGTGGGGTTTTTTTTAGCTAAAAAAAGCTGGAAAAACACTGGATAAAAAACGCTGATAGTAGCATTTTTAGTAGCATTTAGGAACGTTCGCGTTTTATTAGTGTTTTTACAGTTTACATGTAGCATAAAGCTGTTAGGGGCGTTTTAGTAGTATTTAGTAGCGTTTAGTATTTTTTCCTGCTGGAAAAACGTTTCAAAAAAAAGTCTACAAAAACTATTTTTTTTTGCTGCTAGAGGCTGAAGCTCAAAAAAACGCTCATAACCTAAAGCAGTGTGTATGGATACATAGGATAATACTTTTTAGCTTCTGGAGCACAAAAAAAATGCTAATAACTGCTTCTAGGAGCTTAAAAAAATGCTAGTGTGCATGGAGCCTAAGAGGTGTTTCTTTAGGTAATCATGTGGAAGTGTCAAAGAAAGTTAGGTGTTTACCTGGTGCTACTGTTAGGAAAAATAAAAGGCACATTTTAAAAATTGTCAAGAAAGCTAGTGAAGAGTGCAATGTGGATGTTGTTGTGCATTCCCACTACTTGATTTTGGCATTGCGATTTTCAAGAGATTCTGCGTGCTGCATAGGGCAGCCCATTCAGGTGAATATGCTATTTATTTATCACCCGAAAAAAAAGCTTCTGCTCCTTTTCGGGCAACAAGCTTCACTTGATTTGTAAATGCGTGGTTTGCCGCGATTGCCATTAAACAATCATGGCAGAATCACATCACATTTGGGGTGCCATTAAAGAATAATGGCACCCAAATGCACAGAGCGCATTGTGCTGCTTTTCCCATGTAATTTCTGCCCGCAATCCCAAATCGCAAGATGTGAATGGGGCATTACTCTTCTGGTGCCAACTAAAAAATTTGGGATTTTCTTTTATGTTCCAAAAAAAATTTTTTGACACAACTGGACCAAATGGCTTTTTTAGCAGCAGTTAACCTTTTGTTTGACAGGCATTACTATTTTTACTGAAATATGTTTTTTTTACGTTATAACTTGGCATAGAGTACAGTCATCCCATTGGAAAAGTTTTAGTGTGTTCGGAAAGCAGAGCAGTACGGGCAGACAAGGTCAGACTACATATGTGTCCACCTGGTACGGTGTTCATCAGTGGTCGGAATTCTGATGGATGAGGCCCAGTGAAATGGAACACAACTATTAGCCATATAAACCTTAGCTGATTTTATTTATTATAAATGTGCAATCTCCTTGCTTTCTTGTATTAATATCTTTGTTAAAGAGGTCTAAATATATTTCCAGACGTATCACAGATTACAAAGTCGCGGGAGAGACAGCGAAAGTGCATTTTTACTGTAAGATGGATATGGCGGACTCGAGAGAAAAAAATGCGATCGCTTCCTAATTATCTGCCGGGGCATTTATGCTCTTATCCTGCCTAGAAATGGATGCATATTTCACTTACCTGTACGCCGCACACAGGGAGAAATTCAATTAACATACTCAGGAAAGTAGCAATGTTATGATGATTTATTCTCATTAACAAGATGTGGTTTGGATGGTTTCAAGGTAAACACTAGTTAAATGTGAATATTTTACATTTAAAGCTGAGCTCCAGCCGTAAAAAAAAAATTGTCTACACATATATAAGAGGTGGATGGTAAAGGCACAATTGTATTCATTTTTAGTAGATCATTACATTTTATTTTTTTCTAAATGCAAGCAATCTATATACCTGAATTTGACTTGGTATTGGCCTGTATAGCAGAGTTCAGACTGGGAAAAGGAGAAGCGGCAAAAGGAGCAGGCCAGTTGTGGTGCAGTGCTTATGTGCTGACAATGACCATGCTGATAGGAAGAGAAAGCAGAGTGACGGAGACATGGATGCATCCGTCTGCTGCTTCTCTTTTCATTGTCCAGTCACAGGCCTGGGGAGGGGCAAGACCTGTAAGTGTTATTTAACTGCAGCATAATGAAACCAGAATTCACCTGGCAGACAGGGTTGTGCTGTGTGGCTGACCTGTGTAAATCTCAGGATTGGATGGGCAGAAATACAAATCCTTTTTCGCTGCCCGGTCCAGGGGTGGACTGACCATTTGGAAACTAGGGCACTGCCCGAGGGCCCGGGGTCAGTAGGGGGCCCCATGAGATGCCCCTGGTACCTTTTTCATAGGCTTTTTTGAGTTTGGGCAAGGACACAGGGGCGCCATGATCCCCTATTGCCCGGGGGCCCTGTGAGCTGTCAGTCTGCCCCTGGCCCGGTCCGTACGCCATATGGAGCTGACAGTGGGTGGTTTTATGCACAATCCAGTGGCTGCAGCCACTGAGATTGTTTGTAAAACTGACAAGCAGATTCCTGCCTGGCAGGTGGGAGCAGTCAGGTGGCTCTGCCGATCACTTTCACAGCCCCTGGTTTCCGGTGCCATTCCCCCCTCCATGGGTGCGCTCCCACCATGTAACCGGGCTCCACTTGCCCATCTATGGGCCCGCAGAGAGCCATGGCAGGTGCTGGCAGATTAAGGGGAGAGAGGAGAGTAGATGAGTATCCACTCCCCTCCCCTTCTTTGTGTGACCTAGAAGGTGACGTCCACGACTTCACTTCTGGGTCACAGCTGTCACTTTCCCAACTAGAATACCCGGGGAAAGATGTATTGAGGTTTGCATTGCAATACGTCTAATGGAGGCCAGAAGAGACATGCAATATCTTTTAGTCCCTGCATGTTTCAATAAAGAGAACCTGTCACCAAAAAATCACTTTGTGTCCCCTATGTGATGAAAAAAAAAAAGTTAAGTAAACAAAAATGTGTTTTTTTTTTTGTAAAAAAAAAGTTATACCCAAGCACATAACATTTCCCCCCCCAAAAAAAATTTTGAGGCAACCCCCCCACTCCCACATATATGCACGTACGAATGCAAATGCACGTGATGGTGTACCTATGCATGAAAATGTTGATTGCGATACACATGTTACATATCGCCGCGTATGCCGGGGTGAGAGGAATAATTCTAGCACCAGACCTCATCCGTAACGCTAAACTGATGACTTATAGGGGTTTTTTAAGTGTCGTCTATAGAAAATATAGTGTACTGAAGTTTGACGCAGTTTAACA